ATGGAGGTATCTGATCCAGAATCGATTTTGGTGAACAGAAGTCTAAGTTTTGAAAAACCAAAAGACGGCTGAGAAAAACGAGTTCAAAGTTCCAACCTGCACATAATTCATTTACGGCCTTGAAACGCAGTCTTGGCACGTCAAGCATTAGAGTTGTTCTTATAAAACAGCACCAAAACAAAAAAAGAAACATCCACATATAGAATAAACTCTCACGTTGTAAATTAAAAAAGGAAGAATGAATGAAATTTTGTGTAAAAGAGATGGAATATTAAAACGTTTTGAAAGTCGTAAAATTCAAATGGTATGTCAGAAACTAGTCAAAATGAATTGATGTTCAAGGACCTTATTTGAGTAAATGACCCAAGGTAAACAGGCTTTCGAGAAAATTGTATTTAAGAAGTAAATTCCAAAGATGATTAGATCTATTATGACAAAAATCAGGGAAAATTTAAACTAAAAAAATTAAAAATAAAACATACGGTTGAAGACTTTTCAAAAGGATTATAACTGTAGCTCGCATTGGAGTTTACATCTGCTTATGTTGATCTTAAATATTACGCACACCGTTTGGGGAAATCACATGGTGATCAACAAAGCATCTTCTAATTTCTTGTCTTTTCTAATCACATGACGTTATTTCTTTTCAGCCTCACTCTGATCTCCCTGTCGTCACTGCTGCTCGCCGGGTTGGCTTTTTATGTAATGAACACCTTCATTAATATGCAAGAACCTCCCCCATCGACAGAGTCTGTCGGTTGTAGGAGGTCATCGTCAGACTTCGGTTCGAAAGAGGCTTCCACCAAGGTATCGGAGGCCGCAACTACCTCAAACAGCTCATCGGAAGTGGTCGGTAATGATAGTCTGCTCAAAGCTGGGTTCGCTCTCAGCTCCATGGTGTTATCCTCCTGCCTGTGCTGTCTGATGGTGTGCACAATGCAGTGCTACTTCACAGCCAAGATCCTCAAGACCTCAGAGGGCGAGGAGAGGTAGGACCTTTCGCTTAAAGAACTTTTAGTTGGGTAAGAATCAATTCTTAATTTTGCCCAGGTGGCCGCCGAAGCCTAGTCTTGTCTATTTTGGACGACAAAGGGATACTTAACGTGTGCAACTTACCCACGGGACCTCCGAGGTTTTTCTCCATTATCCGAGAAGGCTATATCTTACCTTTCCTAAGATCAGGAATGTGGCTCTAAGACAGCAGTAAGAAGGAGCCTCCGTCGAATCGGGTCTGATCAATGTAGATGGCTGGCTGTTTCGACTCTGTTTACCAGGTCCAGCCCGGGCTGAGAGGGATACAGCATTCTATTAGACGGACGAGGGTATCTGAAGTATAAACTAACCCACGTGGGAATCGAATTCACATCATCGTGCACCGGAGTAGTGCCAAACCGCTAAACTACAGACGCCGGCTAGAAAAAGAAAGAGTAGAATGATAATGGGGCGTGTAAGGGTAGAGAACAAAACGTTAACGTAATGAGTATACTTTTATTTGGAGCAGGTACGAAAACTTCGAGAAAAAAACGAGGCACCTCCTCGACAAACGTTGCTAATAGTCGCTAATAGTTGTTATTTAGAAGTAGTTGGAAGTTGACAAAATGAAAGCTTCTGTGAGCCGTAACGGGCACAGACACCCTTCAATCCTCGGCTCCTAGTCACGACCGTAAGGCTTCTCAGAGATAAGATCATGGTCTAAAAAAAGACGCACGCTCTCCCGTTGAGAGTGGTAGAGATATTGTCTACTAAGTTTCATAGGCGCAAAAAAGAATCTATTTCGAGGATTGATTGAACAATCGACTTTCATGTCCGTGTGAATGCCTAAGCTACTGGGACTGGAGTACGAAACGTGAGTGATTGTAGTGCCGATAGGGCACACAGCGAGCAAACATGTCGAGTGGGGAGTCTCTCACTGGTCCGAATTGGAGGTTTTTACGAGGAAGAATATATTTGTTTGGCTGCATCTCTCTCTCTCTCTCTCTCTCTCTCTCTCTCTCT